AGCACGCTCAAAGCACGGGTCTGGGAATGGATGAGCAGCCCAGTGGCGGGACTGCAGAGGGGCTACTCCTCACAAACACCACCGCTAACCTCAGGGCAAGTCTGTGTGTTCGCTGAAAGGCACAGAAAGAGAGACACCAGCAGAGACTTTCTTTACCAGAGTAGAAGGAGAGTTTGGGGAGCAAATCCAAACTGCTGCTGTGAGTTCAGGGCCCGAGAGGGGGACAGTGGGGTACCCAGCAGCACTGAGGGGCTGCTGGCAGGAAGCCCTGGGACAAATAGGGCTTTCCTCTCCAGCCTGCCCCCCTGGGAATAAACTGCACGTGTAGCTCTTGGAAGACACGCTCTGTGACATGAGTACCCTGCAGCAGCGGAAGGAACGCTGGGCCTAGCTGCTGTCTGATCTCCCCCAGTCCCCTCTCCCTTTACCTCCTGGTGCTGCCGGATGAGCTGGACGATCTCCTGCTGCTCGTGCGGGTCTAGCTTCTTCACGAAGAAGAGCAGCTCCCACCACTCGGCCCGGCTCAGGGCCTCCGAGTCCTCGCTCGGCCGCTCCGTCAGGTAGGGCAGGGAGTACAGCCCCCCAAGGGGCTTGCAGTAAAACGTCTGGGTCACTGCAGGGGGGCACAGCAAGGCAGAGACACAAACCCTGAGCGCCTCAGCAGGACAGTTACCCTGCTGCAGAGCCATCCGAGCCAGGAGGGGACAGCTGGCCTGGGCCAGTCAGGCAGCCAAGGACGTTTGGCCCCTCTAGGCTGGAAGCATGAGGTAGCGAACTCTCGTTCCGAGGGCAAGGTAGTAATCAAAAGGTAAGGGAGGTGTCATTTGATTCACAGAAGTCAGCAGAATCATCATTTCAAATAAAGAAATAAGATATATGGAGATATACCTATCTCATAGAACTGGAAGGGACCCCGAAAGGTCATTGAGTCCAGCCCCCTGCCTTCACTAGCAGGACCAAGTACTGATTTTTGCCCCAGATCCCTAAGTGGCCCCCTCAAGGATTGAACTCCCAACCCTGGGTTTAGCAGGCCAGTGCTCAAACCACTGAGCTATCCCTCTGCAGGGAGGAGGTGGGAAGGGGGACTCTGTGTCCCGCCAGCTCCCAGCTCCACGTCCTCTGGTTGGTGGGAATTTTGACAAGACAGTGTCATCAGAAATGGGTCTCGTTGGGGACCATTTGAAGCTCTTTCCCCCACAGACACAATGGTACCAAACATGGCAAACCTAGAGCAATTATGTAGATGTACAGTCTGAAGAAGTGGGTATTCACCCACGAAAGCTCATGCTCCAATAGGTCTGTTAGTCTATAAGGTGCCACAGGACTCTGTCGCTTTTTAGTCGAGAAAATGTTTCAAAATCATTTTTTGTTAATTAGACTTTATCACAGGAATGCACGGCTTACATACAAAAAAAAAAAAAAAAAAAGACATGGATCTCGGCTAATCCTAGAGAAATTAGCCTCGACACGTAGGACTGAAAACATTTCTTCCTCAAAGTCATCCCCGGTCTCTGCTAGACGTGTCACTGACACCGCACTCACACCTCCGGCCACGGCAGGCTGTTGGCCAAACACTGTAAGGTGGCGAACATGCAGTCTGTGAACGTGAGCATTTGTTTACCTAAGGGACTGATTCGGGAGCACACGTTATTTCACCCAGAACGGGTGTGATCAGTCCACCCTCTGAGATCCAGACATTCCCAATAAGGGAGGGTAGTTTTGAACGCATTCTGCTGTTCCAGAGCCTTTCCATTGCTTGATAACTGGCCCTCTTGATAGCAGGTACAAATGCACCCTGCGGCGGTGGCCGTTCTTCTCTGTTTGTTTGCGTCTTGGAAAACACCCACCGAAGTCGCTCAGCAAGTATTGTCCTGCTGGACTTTAAATGGTACACTCAGTGTTTACGACCTCATCAGTAACCGTCTCAGCCATTCCAAGCACCTTCAGAGCGACGCGAGAGTCTTCGCCAGCTGAATCAAATGCCTCCCTGGAAGATAATCTGGTCTTTGCAGCCAATCTTCCAGTAGCGTCACACTTCCCAGTCCTTCCTTCTCACTTCCCAGTCCCTTACTTTTATTCTCCTGTTCTTCTTTTATTCTATCACCTCTCCTCACCACCTACCCCAACTCTGGTTCATCCGCTAATTCAGCATCTCACTTCTTCTCCTTTCGTCCACCTTCTCCAACAGCTTTTTCCATCTGTCCCCTTCGGGCGGATTGCGCGTCCTCGCCCCAGCTCCCACTGGCCGTCTCTCTCCAGAGGCCAGCGTTCTGTGCTGCTGCATCACAGCTGCAGCTGGTGCTAGGACAGGGTCAGGGTTACTACATAAAGTGTCACCGAGAGTTCTGTTTAACCAGCTCCTCAAAGATGCAGCTACTCTTCGGTACTCTGTCTCCCCACTGATGCCTAAAAATGATCAAGACCAAATGAAAACCCAGGATTTTGAAATAAGTTGACCTGGGATTGTAATCAATTCCGTTATGTGAGGTATGGCACGTAACTAGGCGTATACTGTTCGCAGATGGATTCCAGGGATTGCTGGTTGGATGCTCACGTCTTAACCAGTCCCTTATTAAAACTTTCGGCATAACAAGCAGAGCTGCTAATAATACCACTGAGCTGCTCCTTTTCTGCCGAGGACGGCAAACTCCCCTGAAGCCCTCCTTCCGCTCCCAGTCATTTGGAATATTAACAAAGGAAATCCGACCTGCGTTCTGAGCACTGACGGATGACACAAAACTGCCAGTTCCGGGCCACACTAACTTTGCGAGGCGGCACGTCGACACGCCCGCGTTCAAGTGTAACTAAAAGCTGGTGATTTTTAAATGTTCTCGACTATACACTACACCATTATTCTAGGTTGGTCATGTTTGAGCCCACTGTGTTGGAGGGGAAGGGCTTTCGAGAGATCCCCAACTCGACCCACTTCCGATGACACCGTGTTATCAGAATTTCCACCGCCTGGAGGACCTGGAGCTGGGGGGCAGCGAGCCTCTCCCACCACCACACCACAGAGGGTGACATAATTGAAATGAGGATTCTGTCGATTTTTACAAAGCAAACGACATCTTCCTGGCCTTCCTACCGTTCACCTGCCCACAGAATTACCCCTGCGCCCAGACAGCTAGACAGGTTTGTCTCCCGGCAGCGGAGTGTGTGTGCGGCCCCCCTCCCAGCCGTATCTCCCTCTTCATTCGGGGTGCGGGAGGAAAGGAGCGGTGCGCACTCCCTGGGCAGAGAGGGAAGGAAGACTTGCTGGGAGGGGATCCCACTGAAATGGGGGATGGGTGCAGAACCTTAATTCCCTTCCTCATGTGACCTGCTCCCCAAACAGGACTCTCTCAGGCTGCCAGCACAAATGCATGTCTCCAGAGAGGTGTCCACACGGCCCCAGCACCGGGCACCTCCCCAGGGTTTTGGGGTGTCATCACTGCACCCTGTGGGGCAAGGGAGTGCCCCTCTCTCTAGACGTGGGAACAGGAGCACAGAAGACACGCACTTGCCCAAGGTCACTCACCAGGCCTGTGGCAGGGTCAGATGGCCCGAGCTCCCCCCTTCCCAGGAATAGCTTGAGGTTCAGGTGAGGCCAGGCCCTGCCAGCCCCAGCCCAGCCTGTGCAGAGCAGGGGCAGAGCCCAGCAGGCCCCGCCATCACACAGCAGCAAGCACTCACCAGTGGTCAGTTTCAGGTTCTCCGTCAGGCTGGACACCTTTTCCTGGGCCTCCCGCTCCGCCTGGCCCGACGAACTGACAATCTCCACCATGTGCCAGTGCACCCAGTAGGTGCGGCCCAGCGCCTGCCAATAAACCTGGGGGGAGCCCCACAAACTGGTTACTGAGGGCAGCTTGCCCACAACCCAGGAGGAGCAGCCTGGCCCACAGAACCCCTCAAGCCAGCAGGGAAGCCCAAGGCCTCCGCCAGCCCCAGCGGCGCTCTCCAAACCCACACAGGGACAGGACGCAGCCAGGCACCAGGGAGCTTCAGGCCGAGAGGCTCCCCCAGGCACCGGGCAGGTGCCCGGCAGCCCTGGCCCAGCCCCCCCGCTGCCAGCAGGCGTACCTGGACGGGCGGCGTGCCGTCGTTGCTCTGGCGGAACTCGCCCTCGTCCCCAGCGCTGACCTGCTCGTAGTCCTCCAGCATGCGCACCCGCATGCCCCGCACCAAGTTCCCCTGCACGTACTCCACGTAGCTGCTGCGGCTCGGGAAGGCAGAGCG